ATGTGTGATCTTAATGGCTGCTGAGTGTTTTGAGAACATGTATTGTAAGTCGATGTGTCTCAGCACGATTTGCCCTGGGCCACTGGGTAAATAAGTCCAGGTAAATCCAGTCGCATGCCGATTCATTCAGGTTCCTCGTCTCATCCTAAATCTTTTAAGTCTCTTGAATTAGCTCAGTTTAGCTTTACCAAAAACGTCAATTAAGTAGTTCTCAGAAGCATGACAAATACTGAGCATGCTCAAAATCATTATTCAAGACGTATAGGAAGTTGTTTGTAGGCTTGTTTGTACTGCTTTACTGCTACAGAAACACATAATGGACCCGTCCAAGTATTTGATATGTTGTGTGTGCTTTGTTACTTTGCCCTTCACTTACCCCTCAGTAATTTGAAATTTGTTTTGTATCCAAATTCCCTCAGCACCTCCTTATTAGCCTCCTCCTCAAATGTCCATGGCCACACAAGGGCAAAAGACAAACCTCACCCACCCTTCCTTTTCTATCCTACCCTCCCTCCTCACCTACTATCCTTCTCCACAAGAGTTCTCCTAATACAGACATATCAGCCATTCACATTTTTAGGACGCCTGATTAAGCTGTAAAGCCCTCTGGAGCTCCCGCAGCCTTCATTCACAAAACAACGCCCTAACTACTATCACTCTTTCCCCATTTGCTGCCCTGTTTTTGTTGATAGATGAAAGCTCACAGATTTAGTTTGTTAAGTGAGCCCTTTGATCTTCATTAATGTGATGATCATGGTGAGCATGTTGTCCTGTTTCTGAATAACTCTGACTATGGAGCACTTGAAAGGCCTGCCCAGTTTATTTTTGTTTCTCTCTTCGGCATGTCATTTCCACTGCATGGAACTTATTCCCTTTCCAGTTTGGGTTTCAATTTCCACTGCATGGCACGGCACAACTCAACATGACATGCTTTATTTTGTTTCCTAATGAAATGTAATGTAATGTAACTCTAAAGTGAATGTCTAAAAATGTGCGCTGGACAAGACATGCCTCTGTTTGGTAACAGAAGAGGTCATCCAGCTTTGTTCAATTGTGTATTTGTGGTGCGTTGAAGGTGTTGTCTAGGCTTTGTTTTGTGGAGAGCAGCATACAAGTCCTGCAAACATTGAGGGCATACATTATACAGTAGAATACACAATTGATAAAGTACCTGGACCAAAAGTTAATTAAAGGGGACCTATCATGCAAAATGCACTTTTTGATGACTTTTATACATAACTATGTGTCCCCGGTGCGTCGGGGAACTCACGCAGCGTCAGAAAATAAAACCCTTTCTCTTTTCCTCTGTACCCAAATCTTTTAAAAACGGGGCTACAACGAGCGGATACAGATTTGTTGCCGATATGACGTCGACTCGGCGGCGGACCCACAGAAAGTTGCTAAACAATGGCTGACGTGTTTTGGACGTAATCTCGTCTTTGTTTACATTAGCAAGCCTCGCTAACACTCAGAGCTAACCTGTACTGAAGAGCACATGTGTTTAAAAAGCAGGAAATATAAAAAGGAACTCACCTGGTGATAGACCCGCAAGATAAAAAGCATTTGAGCTCCATACTGTTTCAGAAATAATCCTTGATGTGGTTTAAACAGGATGACGTTTTATCACAGCAGAATTTAACTTCATCTCCGGTAGAATTCTGATCAGGCATTAGCTCCGCCTCCTAATTTTTTTTTTTTTAAAGCTAAGGACCCAAAATCCGCGTTTCTCTAACAGGGCTGCAAAAGAGGGGTATGAGCAGTATGAGGCATGGCTACAATGGGTGAACTGTTTGGTATTTTAAGCAAAAATTTTCACAGAAATGTTTTTGATATGGTCCTACAATATATTTTTCCAATATAGCATAATGGGTCCACTTTAAGTTAATTTGAGTCGAGCTGTGGAAATTTGGCAATCTTTTTGTCATGCACCTGTTTGCGCCAGCGTGTCTGTGAGCTTTGTGGATGTCAACAAGCAATTCATTTCATCACATCATGTGCCTGAGGAACTCCATAACTCTGGTGTTTGCAGTTAATCCTTTTTATAATGTTGACCCCTTGCCATCTTCAGCCATCCGTCATTTCCAACTCTCTTTGTGCTAATTTTAATATAACATGCAATACAGGAGTTGACATTGACATATCTGTATGTTTACGCCACTAGACAAGCACGTTGTCATAAACTCAGGGATTACCTTTATCCTCCGTTAACAGGTTGAATTTATGACCCACAGTCAAATCATGATGTTATAGTTGTGCAGCCTCCTGACAGCAAAATATCCTTTATTGTGTGTTGGTCTCTATCTTAACGACAAGTTGACGTGATAACAGGGAGTCAGATGTTGCAAAACAGATCTTTCCCTACCAAGTTGGACTTGTATGATTGAATGGTCTGTCTTTTAAGTTGCCCATTGATGAAAGATAATGAAAGCAGGGGGTTTGTAAAGGGGTTCCCAGGAAGTTACAGAGGCCACCCGACTTCTTTGTCCACAATCACACGTGTGTTTAAGTGTAGCTATTTTCTATTTGTGTGTCCTGTCCTGTATTTCCCTCTTGTGATCCACGATGCAGGATTAGAGAGATTACTGCTCAGCTTTCTGACTCTGTTCCTTGAACAACTGATCAGTGGCCAACACACACACACATGCTCACAAGAAAACACTCACACTTACACAAAAACAAACATCACAAGCCCACAAAACACACGCCATACACTGATAAACATGTGATACGTTTTGTTAACACATCATGGACTTTAGCTCATCTGTGATTTCCAACGAGCAGTTTCAAGGTGGAAACAGCAGGGAGCAGCATATTAATCAGATATTTTGTCTGATGCAATAATCTGTGTCAATGAAAGGTTTTGAAATGAGGACCATAGTTCCCTCTCTGGCTGCAGCTCTCAGTCACCCCCTAACATCACCCCACTTTCCCTTATCCACATCCTGAACTCAGCTGCCATTCACATCTCCATATTCAACTAAGTTTCCATACCCTGTTTATCAATTAAATTGGCAGAAATTAACTTTGCACTATAACTAAAGGCAGGGGACCCAACAACTTTTGTTTTCATTTAACATCACAAGCCCATAAAACTTGTTGTACACGCGATCAACTTTTGTTGGCTAATATTACGTTTTATAGTCTATCACAAGGTTCGTCAACTTTTTCAGGTATCCTCAGCTGGAAGAGAGACAAACTGCATATGTATAAAACTGAGTTTTTATAAACTGGGCATACAAATAATAGGGTGGCCCCAGGGTGCCATGTATAAACCTTTTCATGGAACAGACAATAGGCTGAAGGAGTAATAATAACTTGATAGTACTTGATAGGTCTCAGTCGTCATCAATGTTTACACCTATTAAATTTAGCTAATTATAGATTGGATTCATGTTAATCTAAAGTGTGTTTTCAGATGACCTCCCTCCACCAATCCAGTGCGCTATCTCTGAGGGCCTCTTATCACGTTTACAGACGCCTTAGGTCATAATGTTTTTCTAATAAAGGAAAGCTTTATGGATTGAAATGTACCTGATGACTTCTGAAGATGTGATTATTCGGCTATCAGTAGTTGCTGCCTTCATATAGCGAGCACTATCTGTTTCTGTGGTGATCTCGTCCGCCATCTCCCACTCTTGTGCAACTTCAAGAAACTGGCACATGGTTCAGAAAAATGCCTTTCTTCTGTTTTCACCACACCTAAAGAGAAAATAGTGCAGATACCATTTGTCATGGATTAGGTGTGCCATTACACCAAGGTAGTAATGATTAGCCTACTTCCTGAATACCAGTGGTCTCCAGTCAACAATACCGCTTTACTTTTTCAATGCCATGGAATTCCCGGTAAAAATCCACGATTGATTTACGGTAGAATGTTGGGGTCAAATTTGGTAACTTGATTAATTTGTGTAGTTTTTTGGGGATTTTAATTCAGCACTTTGATCATACTCTGTTTCAACATAGTCTTGTGATATCACGTTATCGCGGGGGGACTTTCACAAGGAAGGAATGAGATGTTCTCAGATCAGATTGTTTACTGAGGAATCTAGTTGTAACTTGTTAGGCAGCCTGTGTTTCTGAGCAACTTGGCTTACAATGCCAGTCTGCTGGTGGCCACAGAGCGGTTTTAGATGTAAACTCCCACTACTACTACTACTACTACTACTACTACTACTACTACTACTACTACTACTACTACTACTACTACTACTACTACTACTACTACTACTACTACTACTACTACTACTACTACTACTACTACTACTACTACTACTACTACTACTACTACTACTACTACTACTACTACTACTACTACTACTACTACTGTAAGCATAACAATATTACAATGAAAGGGTCCTTACTCTGCGTGGTGTTTTTGCTCATATCATCCAGCGCCATATCATCGAGCCAAGTATTCTGTAGTCAGGAAGTAATTGTGTTTATGTTTAACGTTCTCTTTTGTACTGCAGGACAGTGTGGTGTACAATCTCCCCCTTGTTCTGTTAACCCCATTAAAATGAATAAATAGTGCCGCTTGTTCTGTCAGGTTGTTTAAACATCACAGAGAAAAACAGCTGGTTCAGCTTCACCCTCTCTGCTTTTTTTGTATTCTTCTGTCCTCTTTCTCATTGAGTCTGCTCTCACCCTCCCCTGTCTTTGTTGGTTTTCTGCTCCTTTCCCTCGAAGGGAACAACCTGCTTTCGGTGCTCCTGATTGGTGGATTTCTTGTGAAGTGGGTGGGATCTGTGTCAGGCTGGCAGGAGCTTTACCAGTGGTGAGCCTGCTCTCAGCTGTCAAAGAGCATTCTGAAGTGCAGGCACAAACAGGATCTGTGTGTCTGTGTTTGCTTTCTGTGCCACTGCAGCTCCAGCCCAAACACGTTTTAGAGGACTTTGTGTTCTCAACTTCAAGATCTGCAATAGAAGTAGCAAAGGAGGAATAACATATCCTCTGATACTTGGCTTTTTATTTTGTTTCTCTTCTATTTCCTCCTTCCTGCTTTAATGCCCACGGTAGTGTGGACGGGGCCAGAGGAGGATGGGTCCAGCTGTGGACGTTCAGGCAGCAAAAGCCATGGAGGCAGAGCAAAATCAGCAAAAGCAGCTCCAGCAGAGCTACATGGAGAAAGGGGTGATGCTTGAGCCCTTCCTACACCAGGTGGGGGGGCACTGCTGTGTGCTGCGCCTCGGGGAGCAGACCATCTGCAAACCCCTCATCACACGGGAGCATCAGTTCTACGAGAGTGTGCCTGCTGAATTGAGGAAGTTTATCCCCCAGTATAGAGGTAATGCAAGCCATGCTAAGATGTGTTGTTGTTGCTGTTGTTGTGGTGCTTTGGTGTGTTGCAATGCATCTTGCTGTCCTTGTGCCCCTGCTCTATGTGGAGGGAAATTATGTTTTGCAAGCTTTTTGTAAAATGGAGATTTTGAGATTTTCAGGAAACATGGTGTTGTTTTTAGTGCCAGCAGCATGTGCACAAGTGTGCCACAGGAGGGTGCTGCAGCTGAGCTTCAAACTGTCCACTGTTGTGATGTCATGTGTGTACCAGGCTGTACTAACACAGGTAAGTCAGGTTTGCCCTCATTTCTTTATTTGGCACACAGCCAGCATGGTGAAAGGGACACGAAAGAAGATATTCTTCCTTGTTTTGATCTACAAACCAAGCAGGAGGTCACCTTGAAAGGACAACATAGACACTCAAAAGCTGTACACGGTTGATTGTGGCTGAAACCAAAACTGACAGTCACACCACCACACCTTGTGTAGGATCTTTCAAAATGAAAAAAGCAAATGGAGCATGATGGACAATTTTCACACTTCTTAATAAGCGGAAGTGCAATACTCTATGCCTCTCTCACACATATTTCTAAAGGCGCTTCAGGTGTTTTGTCATATGGGATAGCTTACAGGTTATAACAACTTTTCTTTTCTCCTCAACTTGCCATTGTTATTTTGTAGCAATGGTGCTTTCATTTAAGATGTTTTTCCTCTTTACTTCTTTTGACTCCTTCACCTTATTTTGTGTTCTTCTTGAGTCACCTTGGGGATGAAAGGCTGTTATAAGAATCAAACAAGCTTTGGGGAACCTGCTGACTAATATTTGTTCTGCTCTCAATTTCTATAGCATCAAAACATATATATGTCTGTGTGTGGTAATTTTTTGTATGTATATTGCTCATGATTTTGTGGGACAAATTTCACGAAATCACAATCATATTTGACACAAAACAACAACATTTAAAAACACCCGACCTGTTTCACGAAACCGAATAACATTTCAGGAAAAATACCTTTGTGAGCCACCCTGGTCATGTGTTGTATGTGTACGCATGTACTGTATGTAAACTGCTCTGTAATTCCATGTTAAAGTGTGATTTCTGTTTACATTTCTGCTGCAGCCCTCTCGAAACATAAAATAAATTGACTTTATTGAGCCTTTTTGTGTTTGGGTTGTCATTTATTTATATTGATATATTCTTCTTATCATTGGATCTATTTAACAGCATACTTTGTTTTTGAGTTTACACAGAAAAACACTACCTGCATATTGATGTTGACTGTCATTGTTTATTAATTTTGGGACAGATTTGGGTGTGGGCACAAACTAACGAAAGTAGCTGCAGACATTCCTCTTGTGTTATCATATCAGCTGTGATTTGATTCTTTATGAAATGCATATTCTCTTCATTGCTCCATGACACAAATGTCTAACACACGTCTTTGTTTTCCCCTCTGTGTCTGGTTCTCAGGGGTGGTGTCAGTCAGCTTCGAGGAGGATGAGGAAGGGAACCTTTGCTTCATTGCTTACCCCCTTCAGAGTGACCCGGCACCTGATCTGGAGAACAAAGACCCCTCAGCCGACATACATTTGGGGATGCTTATATGGGAGAAAATGATAGCATCCTCGTCACTTGTGGACAGTGAAAATTACAGCAAAGATGGCCGATGCCGCCTCTCTTGTAGTGACAAGGACAAAAGGTGAGCTGGAAGACTCTGCCAAAAAAGAGAGCAGTACACTCAGGGACTTGTTAATCATCACAAAGCAGAAAGTGTGGTCAATACATTGGTGTCATTAACAATGGAGACGGTAGCCCCACCATTGTTTGAAATGACTTATTTTGTCCCTTTTCAAGAGTATAATTTATTTTTGTAACCCTCCTTTTATCCTCTGGGGTCAATTTGACCCCAGTAGTTTAAAACTCAAGACAATGATCATATTCCACATTTGAACCAAAATGTATGTCTCTGGTGCTTTAGGTATCTTAGTTGACTACCTAAATAACCTTTTAAATAAAACATTACCCCAACCTTCCCCCCAACAGAGCCCTTTATACATCCAGAATTCCTATTATGTGAAATATATAAATCACTATAAAATCTCACTGACTGAAATAAAATGTTAAAGTCAGATGTTTTTGATGTTGTTAAAGGACCAATAACTAAAGCAGAGGGTAGTTTTTTTTTACAATGATACATTTGCATGTAATAGTCACCTCAATATCATCCTACCTACACAATCAACACAAATATGTGTAAAATGTTGGCCTTTTTTATGTTTTGTACGACTAAAACAGCCTGGGGTCAAATTGACCCCAAGGAACACCGATGCGTGCAAAGTGCGTACATGACATTTAAAAAAGATCTTCATGTTAATTTTATGTTTACCCATTAGTCCTCACTAAATTAGGGAAAGTCAAGAAATACTAAGCAAAAAAAACAATGTGAACCATTTTTTTAGTTACCTTAAACATTGAATGGGGTCAAATTGACCCCAAGGATAACAGGACAGTTAAGTTAATGAAAGAAGTATTAAAGAGGACATATGCACATTTTCATTTTCATATTTGTATTTCGTGTCTCTACTGGGACATGTTTCCATGCTTTCATGTTCAAAAAGCTCTTTATTTTTCTCATACTGCCTGTGCTGCAGTACCTCTTTTCACCCTCTGTCTGAAACCAGAGCCCAGTCTGCTCTGATTGGTTAGCTCTGTTGTGATTGGTCAATCGCATAGATATGTCCCGCCCCTTAGCCTATCAAATACAATGTGTTTGAGCGCTAGCCAATAGAAGCGCGAGTGTTAGATAGTGATGTCACTTTGTTACAGAAGTAAACAAAGGAGTCCAATTGAGGCGTCTCAGGCAGGGGGAGGGGGGAGTGTGAGTGTGGATTTTCGCCTTTGTAGTCCATTTACATGCACACAAACCTATATAACACTCTACATGAAAGGAGAAACCCCAAAAGCACGACAGGGACAATCAAACTAACAAATGAAAAAGCTTTCATAACTTTTTATTTGGACAATAAGAAATCATAAAATGCTATTTAAATATAGGATAAATGTGTGTGCATTGACCTCAACAAAAAAAGAATATTCCCCCCAAGCTTACTCTAAAATCTGTAGATTTTAATATGTCTTCACGTAGCTCCTTGCTTTGTTTTTTTTTTATCTGGGTAATGATGTACTCAACAACAACAACAACATGCAGGAGCAAAATGAGTCGCTTTCACATTTAAACAATGCCTCATGGAAATGTAATTAAAGTGGATTCATTGATCATTTCAGAAATGTTACACAACCATGATCTTTTCAAAACAGTCTTTACATTCCCTTTAGAAACTGTGTCTGAATGCAGAGAGTCACAGCTTCAGGGTTGCATAACAGCAATAGATGCATGTCAGTGCACAAACACAAAAACTAGCCGTGACAGTAAAATTGTTGTAGAGGTGTATTTTAAATGCTTTTTTAAGATTATAATGAGTGTAGGACACTATTTTATTGGTTAATTATTTATACACATTACTACCCCCTTACATACTAGGGAACCATGCTTATTTAAACATGTCTACTTGTTATTACCATGGTCTGAAGCAATCCAAAAGCATAAGTCAACATGAACTCTCTCCCAAATATAAAAACAATTTGGGGCTTCACTAAATAAGTCTCTGATACAGTTTCTATAGTGCTCCACACTTTATAGCCTCATACTTGATGACATAACAAGTTTGAGAATTACTTCTCATGTTTCTGGGTTTGAGAGAGTAATTTATGTTTACAAGTATGGACTGAATTGAGCAACATAATATCTTCTTAATCTAATGATGTTCTCTTTTCCTCTTCCGTCCAGCGATCAGAGGCTGAAGGAGAAGATCGAGGTGCTCTGCTACAGACTGGACAGCAGTCACAGTAATGCCGTACCGCAGCACACACACAACCCCTGGACACACACAAGGAAACATCACCAGCTGCAGAAGTTGCAGCAGAGCGACATGCACCGCAACAAATACAGTATCCTTTCACTGGCAGACAACTACGCGTTCTTTTTTGTCTTGCAACATTCAATATAATAGTGGAAGGGACAGGATTGTTCAGAGTTTCCAGACCGAAAGAAACCTCAAAACTGCACCTGGGCTGCACACTGACGGGACTTGCCTGCACATGCGGGGAGATGATAGCATTAATGTGAAGCCTATAAATTTAAAAGCGGCAGTAGTGGAATGTCAGTATATTTAGCCAAATTTCTTTATGAACTACAATTGGCCCCAAATAAACACCTGGTAGAGCATTAGTCTTATGTATGAGTCCTTACTGCACCGGGTGTTACCTCTCTCTCCTCCTCTACTGTTTACGATTACCTTATAATGACCAAATATATTACATACAGAGGGAAAGAAACAGTAATACAAAGAATTACAGTAATAGTGTCCCAGATTAAAGGGGCCCTATTATGCAAAATGTTTAGGTTCATATTTGTGTTTTGGGCCTTTTCTGTGACATGTTAGGGAGGCGTGTGGTGTAGTGAGTTGTGCGTTGGTGTTCGGATCACAGGTTCAAACCCCACTGCAGTCAGCATGTCATTGTGTCCCTGGGCAAGACACTTCATCCCATATTGCTCCTGTGGGGATTGCCCACAGTATTGAGTATGTAAGTCGCTTTGGATAAAAGCGTCTAACAAGTGACATGTAATGTTTCCATGCTTCAATGTTCAAAAAGCTCTTTATTTCTCTCATACTGCCTGTGCTGCAGCACCTCTTTTCACCCTCTGTCTGAAACCAAAACCCCGTCTGCTCTGATGGTTAGCTGGCCGGCTCTTTTCTGATTGGTCCACCGCTAAGAGATGACCCGCCCCTGAGCCAATCACGTAGTGTTACAAAGTGATCTCCCGATGTTACGGGAGTAAACAAAGGAGTCCAGTGCTGTGGGAGAAAACTCCATAGAACTTTGGGATTTTAACCTTTGCAGACCGTTTACATAACAAACTAGGTTGATTAGTGGAAAGAAGGCTGTGTTTTTTGTTATTGGCCTCCTTGACTCTACTGACCAGAATCCATCCTGCTGGAGAACCTGACGTGGCGGCACACTTTACCGTGTGTGTTGGACCTGAAGATGGGCATACAGCAGCATGGAGACGATGTCACCGAGGAAAAAAAGGCCAGGAAGATTTACAAGTGTCAGCAGAGCACAGTGTCCCAGTTAGGAGTCGTCCTCTCTGGCATGCAGGTGAGCTTCTCTTAGCCATCGCTTTAGTATCAATGGCTGCATCCAAAAGGAAAAGTTGGACATTTTTGGGAATTGTTTGTAGAGATGAATGTTAATATCAATATAACTAAAATCCACCTACCTGCATCTCTAAAGCCCGATGGAAAGGAAATCTAAAACAGTTCAAGTGTCAATCTGGCAACAGACAAAAAAACAACTAAGGACAGTCAAATATGACAATATACTCGGAAACTATAACATATTTGCAGTAGTGGAAAGATGTGCAGATTTTAAAAGAGGTAACTTTGAACAGAAATGTGCAAAGTATACAGAGTGATGTGATTCACACCGACCTCTCTTTGCCCCTCCATCAGGTGTACCGGTGTGACACGGGTCAGCTGATGTTCATGAACAAATTCCACGGCCGCAGCTTGACGGTGCCGGGCTTCAAGGAGGCTTTGCTCCAGTTCTTCCACAGCGGACAGCGTCTGCGGCGTGAACTCCTCTCCCCCGTCATACAAAGGCTCCGAGAGCTGCAAGCCGCCCTGGAAACCTGTGAATCCTACCGCTTCTACTCCAGCTCCTTGCTCATCATCTACGACGGAGCGCCCCAGCCAAAGCACGCTGAGGACGGCCTCTCTGAAGAAGAGGATGAGGACGAGGAGGTGGAACCAGACATGGAGGAAGAGAAGAGGGAAGGTGAAGCAGCAGGTGCATTCGGTATCCCACGCAGACCCTCCACGTCTAGCGATGGCAGCATCAGGGACGGGAGCTTGTGTGTGGGCCACTCAGAGCCCCGGAGCCCCATGGTGGAGGTGAGAATGATAGATTTTGCCCACACCACCTGCAGCCATTACCAGGGGGACAGCGTGGTGTACGAGGGCCTGGACAGCGGCTACATCTTCGGCCTCCAGAACTTGATCACCATCATCTCCGAGCTGGAGAACACCAGCACAGACTGATGAGACAACACACAGGAAAACGAGGAGGACTGGACTACAGAGGTGGAGAGAGATTTCTCCTCTTAAATTAACATCCTATTGTAGCAGACATTTTATTGGACCTCCTGTTTTTGCTCTTGGTGCTCCTCAATGTTCCTGTTGTATGTTTCCATTTTTGGGATATGAAAAAGAAATGCACTTAACATAGACAAACCATCTGTGTGAACAATGCAGTGATTTACTGTGTCGTCTAATTCAGTTTGGGACAAAAGTGTAGGCAACATTAAAAGCAGATAGGAGTCTCAGGAGAGAGGAAACGTTTTTGTTGTGTCGGATCCAAAGAAAGCATTTAGCACAAAAACACTTTATGATGAAGAAGGACTTGAAGGAGTGTGTTTGTTGCCTTTTAATTCTGCCATCCTCTTTTCCCAGTTCGTCTTGACTCAAAGAGATTATTTTAGGTATAAGGGAAAGATGATATAAAAGTTTCATAAAATAAATAGAAAGTCTAAAAAAAAAACGCGTACTACATTCCATGTCGTTCAATGTCATAATAATAATATTGATTAATATTGTTACTTGACATGTTTGGATACCTCTATCTTGTATGTGTGGGCTGTAAGGGAAGAAAATAAAGGCTTCAAGTCAATATCTGTGTCTTCTTTCATATTCACTGGACAGGAAGTGGGTGAAAACTGCAATCTGAAAAGCCTCAAATTTGTACATAAGGTTAGCTGGCCGGCTTTGTTGTGAATGGTCAACTGCTTAGAGATGTCCCGCCCCTTAGCCTATCACAAACAATAATTTGGAGCGCTAGCCAATAGAAGCGCAAGTGTTACATAGTGATGTCACTATGTTACGGAAGTGAACAAAGTAGTCCAATGGAGGCGTTTTCAGGCACACTACAGGAGAGGGAAACCCCCAAAAAGCATACAAGGGTCTCTTTAATATACTATGAATTTACTATATTATGAACACTTTACACGTTTTTTTCATGTATTGTGTCTTGATTTTTGTCCATGTTTATGTTGCAAATGGAGCTGCTGTGACGCAAGTCCAATTTCAGACTTGATCTGACCATTAAAGTATTATCGTATCGTATGCATCACTGCTTGTTGATGCAAAGATGTTAAAAAAGAAACTGGTTGTTCTGGCAGGAGGAGGATTACGACACTCCGGCTGCCTCCACTGGTCCGGCTCGTCTCTGACCAGTCTGAGGCGGACAGAGAGGAGAGAACAATCTGCGCTCAGAGTCACGGGCTGCGGTCATGTGAGGAGTACAGGCCGTCTGCAGGGAGGAGAGATGTGAGGCAGACACCTTTGTAAACAGAGAGCATGGGCCGTCAACACCAGAGTTGGGAGAGTTACGTTATGTATTCCATTACAATTAGTTATTTTTAAAAGGTGTAATCCTGTCAAAAGGTAAAAGTGATGTAACCTGATTACTTTCCGTTACTTTTGGATAACTTCAGAAAATAAATATTATTACTTCAGAGCATTATGTGAGACAACAAAACAACCTTACAAAAGAAGAAACCGCCAAAAATGTGTCCTTTGCTCAGAGATTTCGTCAAAGGAAAACTTGCCTTTTATCAAGCATTGTTAGAGAGCACCAGTGGAAGAAACTTTATTAGGACTGAAATTTGGGAAAAACAGAAAAATGTGTTCCGTCAGCTTTTCTTTGGACATTCTATCCCACTGCAGCAACAGTTTTGTCATTAATTAATTAATTGTCAACACATATGTTCCTTATATAGGCTACTGTAACATATTTAATTCCCAGTCTATGACCTAGCTTATACTGCAGCAAATGTATAAAAGTGCATTAAGAAGTCAAACCCTTTACTGTCACCCAGTAAAGGACAGACACTTAATCTGTAAGAGTCTGGGTCAGGGCAGGCTTAGGATGGTTTATGAGCACATATCATATGTACACGCCACTCTCAGACCCCGATGTATGTTTAATAGTCTGCTAACGACCAGCAGCAGAGCCACGGGCGGTCCTGCAGCAGGAGGCCTGTGGTGCTTCTGTGCTGTGTAACTGCAAAGGGATATATAGATTGATAGATGGATGGAGAGATGAAGAAGATAAGCTCAAACTGGGGGGTGGGGGTGTGTGTAGCAAATGTTACATAACAGCCTCAGGATCAGTGGTCTGCTTTAAACTATCAAATGATCCCACTCTGTCATCAAATGCATATAAAACCACACACATATTGTAAATTCACTGTTATTCTATACCACAGTGCTTACATGATGCTGTATATCAAGTGTTTGTGTTTGCATCATGGTAGCCCATGGCTTTGTGCATGTGGAGCAGTTGCGTAACAGCGGTTTAAATCACTATGACAACAGCAGCCAAGCAGCTGGGAATGAAATAGTATCGAAGCATTTTGGGCCACGAGAGCCATGCCCCCCTCCCGTTCATCAAAAATATTAACATACTGTTCATTCAACAAGTCTGCTCCATCCTTTAATGAACACATTGTGTATGCATGCATATAGACACTGTGCTGCACACTTCCGTTGAAAGCACCTTCAAAAACAATAACATTTTGTTTACTTGCATCATCTAATTTCCTTTTCTCTCAACAGTCACTCATTATCTGACTGCAGCAGACTGAGGCTTATATCTAATGACTGTGAAGCACTTTATGACACTGTTGAAAGGCAGATCACAAAGTTCCAGTACACACATAGTTCGGAACAAATCCACAGCTCCAGTTTGCTCCTGGATATTCTTTAAAGGATTTGTCCTTGATTGCTTTTCAAATAGAGATGCAAGCTTTCTATTTGTATCTACTTGGTGTTTGCTTTTGGTGTGTGTGTGTGTGTGTGTGTGTGTGTGTGTGTGTGTGTGTGTGTGTGTGTGTGTGTGTGTGTGTGTGAACCTTTTGTAAATGACTGGAGGGTTTTTTTCTGTCATATTTTCAATTTCAGCAGAAAGCCTTTCTACTCTTCGCTTGTATGCACACACATCTTTTTTTATTTGGTTAAGATGATGGAGGTTGTAGGGATTGATCTCCTGACCTGCTTAAAATGTGTATTTAATGAGATTACAGCATCCATTGAAGTGTATGTGTGGGGACTAAAGTTGCTTTTTAGGTCAGAAGAGATTATAGCGGCTGTGCTTTAGTTTGATGATGTGGAGATATAAGATAAAGCTGGAATAAATCCAAAACACTACTGTAGACTTTGCGCTAAATAGTCAGCATACATGCTCACAATGACAATGCTAACACGATTATGTTTAGCAGCTACTGTTAACTAAACAAACCCCTTTATGACTATGTGAAATGTCATTGTTCAAACTACCAAACCCGAAAAAATCCAATTGGAACAAAAGACTATTTCTTGGAAAGATTGAAAATAAACTCTCAAACGTGGAGTTTAAATATCATCTCATGTTAAAACATGATAAAGTATACTTATCATATAAATGAAACTAAACATTAAAGGTCCCATGTCATGCTTTCCCGGTTGTTACCCGTCCCCTTGTGTGTTATGTAGCTTTGTATGCATGTAAACGGCCTGCAGAGTCGATAAACCCTCAAAGTACACCCTGTAGCGAGTAAAACTCTAACACATAAAAGACATCTATGCTTCCCCAGAACGCCTCGTTGGAGATTTTCTTTTTCCATTTTTTTCTTCCGGGAACCAAGTGACGTAACGACGATCCAAATTGACCAATTGGTCAATCCGCGGAGCTCCTCACACACACACACACACACACACACACACACACACACACACACACACACACACACACACACACACACACACACACACACACACACACACACACACACACACTCACTCACTCACTCACTCACTCACTCACTCACTCACTCACTCACTCACTCACTCACTCACTCACTCACTCACTCACTCACTCACTCACTCACTCACTCACTCACTCACTCACTCACTCACTCACTCACTCACTCACTCACTCACTCAGCCAGCCAGCCAGCCAGCCTTCTTTTTCTCAGCGGCAGCTCCACGGATTTCTCAGCCTGGACTCAGCCTGAGACAGCGAGACACGGCGAGACACGGCGAGGCCCGGCGCTGGCCCGTGTCCCGCTGTCCCGCAGACCCCACGCAGTAACCAGGATACAACACCAGCAAGCCAGCTCACACTGTCCACTCCTCGCAGCAGCGAGCCCCGCAACGTCCCGCCAACACGGCACCCAGACCCCACGCACGCACGCAGCATTCTCATCTGTTTGTCATTGCTGGTGTCATTTTCTGGTTGCTAACAAACGCCATTGTAACACATAATCACTGATGTTCCGCTGTAACGGTGGTGGACCCAGCGCCATATAGACTAAAAATATTTTAAAATACAGATTTCAGTATCCTGATGTTCTGAGCCCCATTTATTTTCCTCACAGACGGCAACAAAAGTCCGAAATTATACAATTTAAAATAAAAGCAATAACTGTGGCTTGATATTGACATTACCAGTAGAAATACATTGCTTTTAAAATCGTGCTGTGCAACACGAAAAAAAGGGGAAAATCGTGTTGGTGAACACGAATCAATAGATTAAAAATCGTGTTGGTGAACACGAAATGCCGTGAGACTGGGTTGACTATACACAGAGATGCTGTATGAGAAACCAATGTGAGTTTGGAAAATTACACAATATAAATCTATTCTAGTAGACCTCAACAATGGAATTATGATCAGTAGAAATGGCCATGACATGGGACCTTTAAGAGACTTCTGATGTTTCCAGGATTTTTTCACGCAATAACCAGAGGAAACATTCCAATACAATAACAGAAACCAATGATTATTTATCACTTGCAGATAAAATGATGCAATGAGCTAATTCCCATCTAAATCATTCAGTTTTATAAAATCCCATCTCTGGCTTGATCCTGCACTCACACATGCACAGCCTCTGCTGCCATGTCAGTACTAACAGTATTTTACCCTTCAAAAATAATCATATGGCTTGTTGCATGGAGGATCGGTCTGCATGGCTACTCACAGAAGCAGAGGAATTGGAGGGGAGAGAGGAAAAGTAAAATCGAGCCATAGTATAATTGGAATGTTGCATAACGGTGGCGTTGTCGGCCAGGCGTTGGCTTCGACCTTGCCTGAGGCCTCTGTCGTACCCACTGTCAAACACATTTACACTGACATCTTAATTACTATAATGAACCATCAGAGGCACACATTAGCATTCAACACACTCTTTATTTAGACTTCTGCCCTCTTGACTCACTCCATGTGTGTTACTCTGGCTCTCATTTCACTATTGCACAGCCAGTCCTCCATTGGATTATAGTTGGGGGATTACAGGTTTTGGTTTAGGGTTATATATTTGGATTTGAATATTGATGAATACTCCGAAAACATTGTGCAACCATTTTTTTGTGAAATTAGCTGTGTCTTCCAAACAGCTTTTCCCCAATTTGCATGTTTTCAGGGATAGGCAGGTGCCAGACATGGATTTGACAAACGTGTTTTGACATATTGCTGGCAGGGATTATATTTAGCTCTCTGCATTGTTCCACAACACTGGGATCCTCTTTGCCCGCTGATATCTCTGTCCCATTCCCCTACTTATGGACATTACTCTATCCTCCGTGGTGTGTTTACATAAGTCCTTCATATACAGTGTTTGCAGTGGCAGAT